GTCCAACAAACAAATGTTCCTTTAACATGTCCCTCTCTAATTAATGATCTGGAGGATGGCATAGACTGCACCCTCAGCAAGTTTGCAGTGACACTAAACTGGGAGGAGTGGTAGATACGCTGGAGAGTAGGGATAGGTCCCCTGAGGTCCCTTCCAAACCTGATATTCTATGATTCTATGATTCTTCTCCTTCCACCGCACCCCACTCGTAGTTGTTGTTCTTGGTCAGTGGAGACCCAGAGTACAGAGGTGCTTTCACATGAGTTTACCTCCCACCCTGGAGCCTGGGGGGGAGCGGGGAAAAGGCACCTTGCTCATTCCCCCAACTGCTCACTGCTCACTCTGTCCGCTCCCTCTGACCGCTGTTGTTCGTCGTGCCGCTGTTCACTCCACCGCTCCATCCCCAATAGCCCTGTACCATCACCTTCTGCTGCCACTTGCCACTGTGACCTCTGTGAGTCGGTCTCTCAAGGTTTCACCTGGCTCTCAGTGATTTCAGCTGTCAGTGGGGGAACCTCACTGCTAGTGCAGGCTGGGCAGTCTCTTCCACAGAAACACTGTCCTGCAACAGGTTTAAGCACTGAGACCTGATTATCAGTGATTTCAGCTCTAGTGGTCACTTAACAAACCAAAGGACTCTCTATGGAGCCTAATCAGCTCTATCTTTTAACAGGGGAAAGGGGCAGATCAAATAGTGCCTGTGACTCTTAGGCAGAGCCCACACCACCAAGCAAAACACCTGTGCCGTGCCGAACCATGGCATACTCCTCCCCACTCTCTGTCTTCCCACTAGGCTATGGCATCCAAACATCCTGATTAGGGAGTGCAGTTCAGGTGAGAGTAGGGTGACCAGACAGCAAATGTGAAAAATCGGGCCGGGGGTGGGGGGTAATAGGAGCCTATATAAGAAAAAGACCCAAAAATCGGGACTGTCCCTATTAAATCAGGACATCTGGTCACCCTAGGTGAGAGTGACCAGTGCTTAATTTGTAATGAAAGAGGTGTCAGGGCTCAAGCAAGTTTGTTACTTTCATAACTGATGTGGCAAGTCCAGAGGTCCCAGGGCTATGAACTGCCAAGCCTAGAGGTGCTGGAAATCAGCCCTGGAAAGTCCTAGCACAAATTAAGCACTGAGGGAGACCCCCTCATTCAGGCAGGCTAAGCAAAGTTCTGCTGCCCTTTACTCATGCACTAAGGATAACAGCATTTCATTATCCCCACATTCAATACTAAAGTGATTTGTAACCCAGCACCTGCCAAAATTGATCACTTGGGCAACACAGCTCTGTCTGCTGAATACCTAGGCAGAGTAAGTGTGTTCATGTAAATACAGTCTGGTACTGAAACCTTTCCACCCACCCCCTGGTTCATCACTAGCTGACAGGGGCGAGCTCACTCAGACCTCGCTTACAAATCATAACTTGAAATTATTAGGTTGGCCAATATAGCTGAAACAAATGTGACAATATTGTCATAAACAACAGCTATATGAGGAAGCTAATCTTTGTTCATACTTTTCAAACCCATTATGCTTTTTCAGGTAGAAGTGTTTTATCATACACTGTATATGCTTTTAAAGTGTGTATTAATATTTCAATTTCCATTCAAATTTCCAACCAATGACTAAATTGACAACACTGCACGTAACTGCTTGACCATGGCCGGGGACGGGGCGGTGTTGGGGAAATTCAGGGGGTGGTGTAAACACCCACTGGGGGATGGTGTAGGGAAATCAGCAGCCTGAGCCCACCTGGACTGGGACAGACCCACATGGACTATGTTGAGACTTTCTAGATTTGAGGGCCCTGAGAACTTCCTGTGATGTGTTCAGATGTACAATAAACACTCCTGGTTCCTCCCCTGGCTGACAGTCACTGCAGACTAGAGATCAGGGTCATATTGCTCACTATGGGTGTGGATGCCTCAGGGGTCCAGAGTGAGTGGACTCACTGAGGGGGCTCATGGAGAGAGACAGGTGTGCTGATGGCTCAGAGGTACAGTCTCAGGAGGTGGCAGGACCTAACTCCAGAGAGAGAGTGCAACTCTTGCAGAGGGCTGTCACACTGAAAGAGGTTACTCCCAGAGACCACATGGAACCGAGAGAGCATGGGTCCTGGGAGTCTGTGACAGTTGGTTCTAAAGCAGAAACTCTGAAGAGGCTAGCAAATAACCAGAATGATCACCACAGTCTGCACACCAAGGTATTAGAAATTGTTGAAAACTTGGAATCACTGTGTGACACACAGAAAACACTGGGGTTTTCTCCAACTATTGCCAACACGTTTGCCAACACAGATGTTCACTGGATCCTGACAACCAAACTCACAGCTGAATTGAGCACAAAAGCTGAAGGAGAAATATATGGCGAGAAAACACAGCTGTTTCTGGAAATCCTTTTGACCCTGGAATATGAGAAAAACCAAAAAAGCGTTCAAACCCTTCAACACAATGCTCAGAGAGAAATGGGAGATGACCGTGACCCATAATCTGAACCCCAAATGTTTGGTGCCGAAGATGCTTTTTGGAATGTCATCCTCCAGGTTTTCACCCCCTTCTTCAAGGTGAATTTTGCAGCAGACTATGACTGTTATACCAGAGTGTTTCAACTATTTGCCACTAAAGATGAACTTTCAAATCTGAAAGGGGAATTTTACATGAACTACTTACATGAACGTGCCTACCCCTGACAATGCAAAACTGGATGTGCTGGCTTTTTGGAAGAGTCATCAAGACACACTTCCCAACTTCAGCAAAGTGGCCCGGTGAGCCTTGAGTGTATCCCTGGATCTGCTGATGCAGAGTGCGTATTTTCAAAGTTGGACTACCTCCAAGCCAGCACGAGGCTCAACATGAGTGAGAATCCTTTAAAGAAAATTATGTGAGCGAATGCAAACCAGGATTTCTGGAAAAACTACTAGTTCTGAGAGAGACACAATATACCTTTGTACATTAAAAAAAAAGGTTTCAGTTATACTGTAGTAAAATGTATATATTACAAAAGATTTTTGTTTTTCTCCTGATTTTTTAAATTTTTAACCTGATTTCATCTCGGTTTTAATATTTGGAAAATAAACACTGAAAAATTCCCAGATTTTTTTTTAACAAATAAAAACTGAAAATGCAGAACACTACTTAAAAGCAAGGATATAGAGCCATAGGCTTTCCTTTGAACCAGACCAGCGTTCAGATAACCCCTTCAAAATGTGTAATTGCTATTTGCCTTGAAGAAAGTCGCCCAGCAGTATGTAACCTAGAGTGATGTGTCCTAGGCTTTTCAGCGAGTGTAGCCCAAGGTCGAGTGTGCTTCAACAGCAGCCCTGGGAACTACAAGTTGTGGCTACAAACTGCGGCATGTTGGGAGAACTTCCTGGTTCCTCCCAGGATGTTCCCTCTGCTCCCCCAGCAGGAGGCTTCAGAACTGACTGAGCTAGGAGCACATAGTAGGCAAGCAGAGAGGAGACTGCTGGACTGTAATCATGTTCTTTACAGAATAAAGCCTTGTTCCTGGTGGTTTGTCTGAGTGGGTGTGGTCTGAGGTGAACACACACTGACATACAACGCAGAGCACAAAAGGAGCCTCAGGCCAAGTTTCCCAAAGTTGTGTAAAAAGTCACAAGGCAGGCTTCTCCTATCTTGAACAACCTTATACTGGGCCAGTGAACAGGAGGAGGGGGCTACCTGAATCATGGGACTACTAGCCACGGTTGTCCTGATCTCCAAAATGCTGGGTGGTAACAGACAAAATCTTCCTAGGCACCAGTGGCTCCAGTGGTGCTTTAGAGAAGCATCATCCATTCCTCCCAATGTGGAGGACAATCAACAAGTGCCATGAGGACAGGAACTGTCATACTTAGTGGAGGAACAGAAATAGCTATGAACACTATAATCCCACTATAGATATAAAATGATGGGGTCTAAATTAGCTGTTACCACTCAAGAAAGCGATCTTGGAATCATTGTGGCTAGTTCTCTGAAAACATTCACTCAGTGTGCAGCGGCAGTCAAAAAGCGAACAGAATGTTGGGAATCATTAAGAAAGGGATAGATAATAAGACAGAAAATATCATGTTGCCTCTATATAAATCCATGGCACGCCCACATCTTGAATACTGCATGCAGATGTGATCGCCCCATCTCAAAAAAGATATATTGGAATTGCAAAAGGTTCAGAAAAGGGCAACAAAAATGATAAGGGGTATGGAACGGTTGCCATATGAGGAGAGATTAATAAGACTGGGACTTTTCAGCTTGGAAAAAAGACAACTAAGGGGAGATATGATAGAGGTCTATAAAATCATGACTGGTGTGGAGAAAGTAAATAAGGAAGTGTTATTTACTACTCATAACACAAGAACTGGGTATCACCAAATGAAATTAATAGACAGCAGTTTTAAAAGGAACAAAAGGAAGCATTTCTTCACACAATGCACAGTCAACCTGTAGAACTCTGCCTTGTGAAGGCCAACACTATAACAGGGTTCAAAAAGAAGTAGATAAATTCATGAAGTGTAGGTCCATCAATGGCTATTAGCCAGGATGGGCAGGGATGGTGTCTCAAGTCTCTGTTTTCCAGAAGCTGGGAATAGGAACCAGGGTATGGATCACTTGATGATTACCTGTTCTGTTCATTCCCTCCGAAGCACTGGTCACTGACCACTATCGGAAGAAAAGAATACTAAGCTAGAGGGACCTTTGGTCTGACCAATATGGCCACTCTTATGATGAAACAGAACAAGCAAAAGGAAAAAAAGAACAATCTTCTTAAAGTAAATCTGTTCGGTGCACAGATTAGGAGCACAGACATAATGAAAACACAGTATATACATAAAGAAAGCCTTTGTCTAAACCCTTTGGAAAAAGGCAGCCTAATCACATGGCAATTAAAAGCAGACAAAGCATTTCATTGAGAAATAATCAGCACACCAAACCCACAGACAGTACAGCTCTAAGCTATCACATCTAAACTCTTTTTCACACCTACCAAGACAAGCTCAAAGCTAACCACTCAGACTGTGCACCCTTCCCCTGCTTTTCTCAGGAAAAACAAGACACTCTTCCACAGCAAAAAACAGCTGTCACAGAACAATGCTCTCTACAATTTTTATGCTCAGAAGGAAACACTACAACTCCTCATTAGGGTTAGCAAGATCAACTATCCATAATCACCCATCTCCAGTCACCAACTAGAAAAATGATCCCTGAAAGCATAGCTTTAACCAGCATAGCCCCTGTCAGTCACAGGTCATTCTAGAGCATTACTCTCTAACTGGTGGTTGCTAGAATTTGGCCTTCATGAGACAGAGAGCACTAGGAGAAGCCCCACGTGAGCAGAACCTGTCTCTCAACTCTGCCTGCCATGGCCCCCTTCCGTGGGCTGCCTATCAAAGCAAAGCTGCTCAAAGCAGCCATCCCCTTTCATTTGCATAAACTGAAGACACAGACAGGCCACTCCACCAATCTTCCCCTTCTCCCTACTCTGTGATGCCTAAGACAACAATCCTCTGGCTGGCCAAGGCAAGAGCTCTCTAGAAACGCCTGCCTATTCAGTTTTGGACATCCTAGTAATGTTTCTTTGGCACCACAGACCATAATGGAGAAAGTCAGCAGTGGGGAGCCAGACTCTCCAACAAGGGGTATTTCCTGAACCTAAGGGTTAGTCTCACCATTCTCTAGGGAGCAGGACTTCTCAGTTTTTCTGGAAACCACTCCAGAAGCTTTAACTTAAAAGCAAGTATACATGGCCGTAAGCTTTCTTTTGAACCAGACCAGAGAAACCCTGTCAAAATTTCAAATTACTATTCATCTGTATGACCCGTGGTGCCTAGAGAAGCTAATGCTGAAAATACCAAGGTCAGGGCAGGTTGTACAAAGGAGAGCAGATTCTCCCAAAACTGGTGGTTGACACTATAGTTAGAATCACTATCCAGTCACAAACTGTGCTTGTGATCCCCCCATTGGTTATCAAGAAACTAAAAAATAATAATAATCACACAACCCCCTTTATTACAGCCCGGTCTCTGACTCCAAATCAGCAAATAGATCCAGTGATGTAAGAAGTTATTTAAAACTCTATTCACTCACAAAATGTTCTTCTGATCCTACCCTACCCCCATGTAACCACCTTGTAGCCTCCTGAGGGGTCATGCCCCTCAGTTTGAGAACCCCTGGAATAGATAGTGCTGATGCCAATCTGTCTGAGGGTAACATCACAAGTTTGAGATGCAGATATTGTGATGGGTTCGGTCACAGAGACCCCCTTGCTGAATTTGCCTCTGAGCATGTTTTCCCTGCCAGCTTGGGACTCCAAAACCCTGCCTTGTTGAGCCAGACATGCTAGCCAGCTGCAAACACAGACCCAGGACTGGTCCATGCCCCCAAAGATGTAGATTTTAGCCAAAAACTGCTCAGCAGGTCTCCTATCTCCAGCACCCAGACACCCAGTTCCCAATGGGATCCAAAGCCCAAATAAATCCATTTTACTCTGTATAAAGCTTATCCAGGGTAATCTCATAAACTATCTGCCCTCTATAACACTGATAGACAGATATGAACAGCTGTTTGATCCCCCAGGTATTAATCACTTACTCTGGGTTAATTACTGAATGAGGGAGGCAACCTAGTGACCGAGGATGTGGAAAAAGCTAATGTACTCAATGATTTTTTTGCCTCTG